TTACAGAACTTTATCTCCCTGCAAGGCAGTGCTTGAGGGAGGGTCCCCAGTAACCTGTGCTGGTACATCTGTCGTCATTTTCATGTGGGATGAGAAATGCAGAGCTGGAATCCAGCTGGTTCCTGGGTAAATGCAGTCAGTGAGTTTTATGTCATATTCAGGCCTGTTCGACTAGGTCAGTTACCTGTAGTCAATTAATGAACATAGCGATAAGTCTCCAAGTCTCTTTCCACACCTGTCATTACCTGGCTGAACACCGGAACCTTGGGCTAATGAGGATGTAAACTGGTGTAGTTCACATAAAAAAAGCCTATTATTTGAATTTGCATAACATAATAAAATGCACCATTTTTGTCTAAAAGATAATTATTTCAATCACTCCTGCCTCTGCCTTTGAGTAGGCTGATGACTTCTGCCCTCTTTGCTTGGCCAGAGACATAGCAGGTGCAGGCAGATGAGACTGTGTGTACAGAGTCAAGTCTGTGGCCCCAGGAGATGGAACTAGACAGTGCTTCCAGGGTCTCCTGTTCTCTGTGCCTCTGTCTGATCCCTGTAGACACAGCGGTAGGAAGATGCCGGGTGAGATGCAGCAACAGGCTGCCTTCATTTTCCAGAAATGACAGGGAGACATCTGCTTTCATGCTAACTCGTTTTCCTGCCCAGTTGAACACCCTATAGAGGGCGCTCGTGATGTAACTGCTTCTCCCAGGGTTTGCTTTGGTGTCGGAGCTACCAGGAATCATGGGATTCAAATGGAATGAGATCCTCCTGGTGGGGGCAGGGTGGGTTTCTTGGCAGGTGTTTGGCACAGGAAGCTCTCCTGGAAAATCGTCCAATTGGTGTGTGGACATCTTCCGTGCGTCCTGGCGAGGAGAGGGCAAAGGCTAATGAATAAACACAACTGGGAATTGATTCGCACCGCACGGCTTAGCAGTCCCTGAAACTGCTCCATCTGTCCTCAATTTGAGGCAAGGGAAAATATGTGCATTTAAGGAACCATTCAAGCTCTTTTCTCCTTTGGTAATCCTGACTCTGAGGTACTCTAAATCCTTTGCTATTACCTGATCACCTGCTCACAGGGGCCTTTATTACACAAGACCACTGCCTGTGCCCCCCCCCGACACTTGCACCCCACCCTTGCCAGCCCCCCTCCTTGTGCTCCAATGAGGAAGCCATTGATGCGGGGACCCTCTCTTGCTCACATATTTCTCCAGATGGTTTGGTTGGCTTCTCTTCCTCCAGAGCCTTCCTTATGCTTATTTCACTGGCTTTGGGTAGCAAGGGCTCCTTGCTCTTTGCCCTCTGCTCCCAGCTCCCTGCCTCCCTGAGCCATTCTTGGACAGGAAGTTAACCTTTCTCTCTCTCCGAGCCCTGGCAGAGTGGGAGGTTGGGTGGGGGAGGCACATCTTGGCCTGGTGTTCATCCTGGCCCAGTGTTCAGCTGACTCTGAGGAAAAGGCCAGACCCTCCCTTCTAATAGCCAGAGTTCAGAGTGAGCACAGCTGGGACCAGGACACTTGCTCCCCTCTGCAAACTGCTCCACTCGTAAACTCCGTCTTTCCATCCTGAAAAATCCTAAAGGGGAACCAGAAGGAAAGGACAAAGTCGTTGGACAGACCCATTCTTCCCATGACCCCCAGCGTCACTTGAGCATCAGCTTTCTCCCCTGGAAACCGGGGCTCTGCAGTGATGGCACCTGGCCTGGGCAGCTTGCTCCTGTCGCTCCCCCTCTTCGTGGAGGAGCGACACAGGACCCTGTGCTGTTCTTTTGTCTGCTCGGCCCTTCCCGGGTTTGCTGCTGGTTCTTCCCGGGTTGGCTACCGTCCCTTCCACCTCTGTGGAAGGGCGGTTCCCCCTGCCACTTTCCCCACTTCCGCGGGGGAGTGACACACCGCCGGCCGGCTCTCTCGGGGGCTGCACAGGTGTTCCTTCAGCTAGATGTTCCCCTTAGATGTTCCTGGTGCATGTTGTCTCTCTCCTCCTTTATAGTCCTCTTCCGCCAATCCCAACTCTGCTACCCACACGCCGAGTACGCTGCTCTCCTCCAATCAGGAGCAAGTCCTACAGTTTATTGGTTGAACTGGAGGCAGCTGTGTAGAAGCTGCTTCTCCCTTCTCAGCGCCATATTGTGGGAGAGCAGATGCATAGAATAAGTCTTAATTCCAGTAACTTAGTCTAGTCCGGGTTGCTCCCCACAGCTCCAAGCTTTGCTAACTGCAGAAAAGGGAAGGTTATTGTCTTAAACCCTAAAAGGATCTGCAATTCTCTCTGTTTCTCCAGCTCCCAGGCACTCAGGTGCCCTTCTTGTGCCCGTCCTATGTTTGGAGAAGAGCATAGACTGTGGATATGAAAGTTTACCCAGATCTAATTCACCTACCTTTGGCTAATGCAGATGAATGGACCGTATCCTGTATCAGAAGCTTAGAAGGAATTCCCAGCAGCTGTGAGAAGGCTGGAGCTGCAGGCTTGAAACTGGGCAAGACACAGGGCTGGTGGGAGGCCTGGGAGTCAAGAGCAGGGAGAGTGGCTGTGGGGCAGAAAGTTGGGTGAAGCATTGCTGCTGCGCAGTGAAACTCCCACCAGTTTCTGTCTCTTTATCTCTTTGTCCAGGATTCAGACTCAGGCCTGTCATCCTTGTGTGCATCACAGACCTCTTGGCTAAGTGGTTAAGTTACCTGCCAAACCTTTGTCCTGTGGGGAGAGTAATTTTTTGAGAGCAAATAAGCCTCAGATGCTGAGTGGCCCCAAGCCTCTAACACCCAACTTCACAGCTGTAACATACTGTGAAAAGGGTTTCACATGCAAAGATGAACACAAAACGGGGGATGGGGGACAAAAAGACCTACCATGCAGAAAGAGGCAGAGTTGCACAGAGCCAGCTTACCCAGGGTGGAAGGTCATTCAGAGAAGCATTTGAACTTGCTTGCTTGCATGGACAGACAGTCCCTGAGTTATAATGGTTTGACTTGGGGTTTTCACATGGTGAGAGTGATGGGCATTCAATAGAAACCAAACTTGGAAGTTCTGATGTTGAACCTTTCCCACGCTGGGGACGTGCAAGCCATAGTCCTCTCTTTGGGCTCCATGGTTGCCAGGGGAACAACCATCACTTCTAGGTGTGCTGTGTGGCAGAGCTGGGCTGCACCGTAATAGGTCATCTGGATTCGGTGCATTTCCTACTTAAGAGCATTGTCAGTTTACGAGGAGTTTATCAGGTTGTAACCCCATCATCGTCAAGGAGTGTCTTTTACACAGTCTTGAAGTAGGCTGTGACACCTTGGCACAGATGCACCTGTTCTCCAGCTATTTCACCCATGGCACTTGCCACCCAGAGGTGCCCCCAGGACAGAGCTGGCCTCCCAGCATGAATGATCTGAGTGAGCTCTGTCTGTGTGGGGCTTTGGAGCATTGCCTAAGGGGCCTTGCCAATGATTTCTGATGTCATCTCCTCCTGCAAGATTGAGCCGCATCCCATTGTCTCCTCCACGCTTTGGTGCATCTCTTACACTCAGATTTCCTCCTGGCCTGGGATGACCTCTCCGTATTCTTATGGATGCTGTCAGTGTTCTGGGACAGCAGGTTCCCACCAGAAGCCAAGCTGTTCACCATGAACTCACAAAGGTGTGGAGGGAATAGCACCCCCCCTTCTCCATGCCGTGTTAGGGCATGGGGGGAACTGCAGGGTCTTTCCGTTCTTGTCTGAGACATGCCTGTGGGGCCTGTGACCGGCGTACTCCTGCCAGTCACCCAGGGTCACCTTCTTCTGCGGGAAATCCCCTCACACCAGCCCCAAAGGAGCTTAAAGAAGTCACTGGAGTGGCTGTTAGATTTTCATGATTCCTTTTTCTTTTCTTTTCTTTTTTTTTTTTTTTTTGACATGTTCAGGGTTTCTAAATGTTTTTGTACTTCTAACTTCCCTGCAAGGTGGATAGGGGGAGGAGTTTCTCCAGTACACCACATCAACCTCGCCTGTGACGTTATGTCTCAGAGCTGAGAAGTGACATGGTGCTGCTCATGGAGCTTGAGGGAGGGCTGGGAAGCTGTCAGTTAAAACCTTGACTGCTACGTGGGCACCCAGGCAACCTACAAATAGGACTGCAGCCACTCACCTCCCTGGGAGCTATAGCATTGCCAGCCTGCTGGGTACCTGATCCTGTGCTTCACCTCACTGGGGGAACCTGAGAGAGGAGATGGCTACCTGTAGGCAGATTGTCAAGTTGTCAGAGGGAGATTCACTATGCTTTATTTCCTTCTTGAACAGATTAATGAAAATATTAGTAATTTAAAATTAATAAATTATTATTAATATTAAAATTAGTAGAATTATTGAACAGATTAATAAATGAGCAAACCAAATGACTTTCTGTGACACCACCCACCATGAAGAGTATCATGAGTCCAGGGTCAGCTCACCCCTCTGCTCCCCCTCCCCAGAGAGGGTGCTTGTGACTATGGCTTGTCACTGGACCGAGTATCATGAGTCCAGGGTCAGCTCACCCCTCTGCTCCCCCTCCCCAGAGAGGGTGCTTGTGACTATGGCTTGTCACTGGACCCACCCTCCTGAACCTGTGACCCCTGCAGCGTAGGGCAAGATGATCCTGCCAAGAAGTAGCAAACATACAGGGCATGTTCGAAGCTCCAGCACTGGTCCCTTTAGTCCCATGGGACACCTTGTTTCTCTTCCTGTTTCTTCCAGTTCTTCAAAGCATCCTATCTTGTCACAAGGGTTGGCTCTGGGCCCAGCTGTGACTCTAAGCTGAGGACAGAAGGAAGGCATAACATGGCCTAGGCCTGCCTGCAGGGACTTCACCCCATGGCAGATCATGTTCTAAGCTATGGTCCCCCCAGAGCACACCAGGTTGGCCGTGGAATTGAAAGGTGGCGAGTAAGGTGGGGATACTCACCTGCCGCCCAACAGGCCCTCCAAGCCTCAGAGTTTGTAGCAAACCAGATGCAACTCACGGTGAGGCTCGCCCTGACCTTCCTGTGCTTTCTCTCCAGGACAAAGAGGTGAACCTGGAGCAGGTGCACCGACGCATGAACAGCCTCATGGATGAAGACATTGCTCACAAGCAGATTTCCCCAGCTTCCATTGAGCTCTCGGCCCTGGAGATGGGGGGCCTGGCTCCAAGCCAGGCCTTGGAGCCCACTCGGGAATACCAGAACACACAGCTGTCAGTCAGCACCTTTCTGCCCGAGCAGAGCAGCCACGGCACCAGCCGGACACTGTCCACAGGGCCCAGCAGCAGCCTGCCACTGCCGCTGAGCACCGCGGCCACCATGCCCTCCATGCAGTGCAAACACAGGTCGCCCAACGGGGGGCTGTTCCGACAGAGCCCGGTGAAGACCCCCATCCCCATGTCCTTCCAGCCTGTGCCTGGGGGCGTACTTCCAGAGGCCCTGGACACCTCCCACGGCACCTCCATCTGACCGCGCCGCCTGCCCTCCCGCCCGCCCGTCCACCCACCCACCCGACCAGCAGAGCTTTTTAATACAAGAAACCACACACACACCACACACATGCACACACACACACAGAGACTTTCATTTTTCTTGTACATATATGTAAATAATGACAGAATGGAGTGGGGTAAAAGTGTATTTTGAATATTCCCAATTTTCGAAGTCAGTAAAAAAAAAAAAACACAAAAACTGTACGAATGACTTTGTAAATTTTGTTCTATATGAATAAAAAGGCAAATTCCTTGTGATCATTCTGAAGTGCCAAAGGAAACCCTATTCCTCAGGCTGCCTGAGGGCAGGAGAGGCAATCACAGGAGGACCCCTTCCTGATAGAGGAGGGCCTACAGGAGCCCCCCATGCTGCTTGCTGCTGTGAACCACAGCTTCCCATGCTGTTCCCTGGCCCCTGGCTCCCGATCCTCATTTACTCTCCCTCGCGTAGATAAAGAATGAGCTTGGAGCCAGCGTTGGCCTGGCCCGTTAGGTCACTGTGCTGCAGAGTGACCAACTTCTCCTGCTAGCCTGGGACAGAGAAGGGACCCTGGACACAGGCCAGTGCTGGGCAATCTGTGACAGCCTGGGACCTCGCCTTGTGTCACAGCAGGCAGGGTGTAGCAGCCACAGGAGCCCCGAGACGCTGCACATAGGGACCTAACTGTCTCTGAGCATTTCAGTGCAATGTGCACTAGTGTCTCTGGTTGGCTTGTGTTTTACTTTCCTCTCCTATTTGGCAGACTCAGCCAGTGATAGAAGATTAGAGAGAGGAGGGCAGGCCCCATGATGGTCTCAGGGAAGCAGGGCAGAAGTGGGCTTGGCTGGCTGCAAGGTTCATGGGCAGAGAGAGGTGCCAGGTGTGGTTGGTTCTGTGGACCAGAAGAGGTGGAGGGCTGGGATGCCAGTAGAAGAAGATGATTCCTCAGAGATGGGGCCGGAGAAAGGGTAGGGTGCTCACAGATGCAGGGAGTAGAAGCGCTGTGGTTTTAGGTTAAAGAATTCTGTTGGGAGGAGCTGGGGGAGGTGCACTAGGTGGGTGGATGGATGCTCCAGGTAGTGAGGAAACCAGGAAACACAGAAGAGAGGAAGCAGCCTGTGCCCCTGGGAGGGAAGGTTCAGCATGTCCTTGAATGATAGGAAGACAAGTACCTCACAGCACCATAGGGAGGTTTCTGGTGATCCCAAATGTACAAGCCTGTTCTGGGTCTTAAGCCATTCAGGTCATCTGCCCAACTGGGCCAGACCCCAGCTCAAGCCCCCTGGCCTGGCTATACCGCCTTCTCCAGACCAGCAGTCCTCAAGCAGTGATCCAGCCCATAGCAGGGGCTCTGCTGCTGAGGGCATCTGGTCTCCTGTGAGACTCCCAGGCCTGGCTCCATGCTGCAAGACCTTGTCTGGTGAGGCAGGGACAGCCTGACAGCCCCGCCTCCCTCCATCGCCTCTATGGGTCAACTCAACTACAGAACCTGGGAAAGAACCATCAGGATGGAGTCCTTGGCGGAATCTGAGCTCTGAAGAGAAAGGCGGTTCTGACACCTGGAGGACCTAGTCCATACCTGGCTCCCAGGGGACGGGGCTTCTGCCCCAGCAGCACTCAGGGACCGAGAGCCTGGGGCTGAGGTGGTGGAGAAATACTAAGTCCTCTTGATTGCTTAGTCTTTAGCCCTGTCCAGCGGCTCAAGAGATATGTTGTGACAATGATAACTAGTGTGGGACTGATGTCCTTCCTAAAGTCCCGAGTGGCTTGGCTGAACAGTAAGGAGTGCCCGTATCACACAGTTAGCTAAAAGCACCCTGAGGAAGACACTGTTTATAATTATGTATGCTATTTGTGGATGCTGAGAAGGGCCTGACATCTGTGCCCCCAGGGCCATCCACTGACATGTCTCTAGTCAGAGTGTGTGGACCTGGAGCCAGGTTGCGTGGGGCAAAGCCCAGTGGGCACCATCACCCTGGATGGATGGTCAATTTTTCATATATATATACATATATATATATAATCTCTCTATTTTTTTAATCAGACTCTGGTCTCACTGCCTTATCTCACACCCAAGTATGCCCCTCCTCCCCACAAGAAGAGCAGTCTTCTGGAATATTCCATGGATATGGACATTGTCTTGGATGGCTTTGCTTAGAATGGGTGTCAGGGAGGGAGGTGTGTGTGTGTGTATGTGTGTGTGTGTGTGTGTGTGACAGAGAGGGAGGGAGGGAAAGAGACCAGCATCTTCAAGGGGAAAATATTCTGCTTCCAAAATCCTTAACACCTCATGGTGTTATTCTTCACCGTGTTTGTTATTTTTTGAATTTCTTCCTACCTTTGGCACGAGAGGAAATGATTGATATTCAAGCAAGTTCTCTAGGGGAAAAAAAAGGCAAAACAACAAGGTTCTTCCCAACTCAGATTTCTGTGTCCGCTCAGAATGTACCTTTTTTTCATGCTTTGCTCTTTGGATTTATAACTCTGTTTAGACTATTCCATACATTTTAGGTATATTTTGTGCCTTCAGACACTGCAAATAATAATCAGCATTTGGATTAAAGTTGTTTAATAATAAAACTTGTCTTTTCTCCCTACTCTCTTATTCTCTGGGATGGAGAAATGCTGTCTGGTTGTTCCTGGGCATGCTGCCGTGGTGAACTGAGTCCTGTCCCACTGACAGGCACAGTCGAGAGGGGGCTCCTCTTCCCACGTGGGTCTCAGCTACACTCAGGGGTGGGAGACACACCACCCTCACCCCCAGGGAATATGGGGTCCCCTGATATCACCCAGGGGATGGTGTGTGGGACAGACTGAGCCGGTGGAATGAGCACTCTAGTGCACACATCTGACTTCAGTTCTCTCGTCTCTCCACGCGCTCTGCCCTCAGGGGGTTCCCTGTGTTAGGTCTCAGGCTGAGGGACTCACTCTTGCAGGAGCAGCAGCTTGGCTCCGCAATATTTGGTCCTCACCCTTCTGCAGGGGACACCCTTTACCTGTGCTCATGTCCCGGGGGTCGAGACCTCTTTCCTGACTCCCACAGGCCTTTGTACCCAGGCCCCACCTCTGATGCCCCACTCTTCCTTTTGGCTTCAGGGCCTCTGTGGGGCAAAGAGTACCACTGTGAATCCTGGGCTAAACCAAGCTGGCCTGCAGAGGTTGGCCAAGGTTTCAACCTGCAGGAGCTAAAGGGGCATGGCCAGCTCTTGGGCCTCATTCTGTGCACCGTTGATGGGCTCCTCCGTTGTTGGGGCCAAAACCCTCAAACTGGAGTGGGAGGAAGGGGACAGACAGTGGGAGCCACATAGGAACTGTTGAAGGACTGTTTTCTTGGGAAGAAGCAACCCAGTTCCTAAATTCCATACACACCCCCAGGTCACACCAAGACAAACCTCAGTCCATACCCGATCTTTATCTTTTCAATCATGAACAGCTGCAATGACATGGGTGAGTTCTTCATTTCTGTGGCTTCTGCCTTTTAATAATCATTGAGTTGAATTACAGATAAGATAAATTTGATAACTGAGATGGACAACATCTAACAGACAACCCGGGTTCACTGTGTGACATTCTGGTTCCACCAGAAGGGGTTCCTTCATTTTCTGCAAACTGCACAAAACAGGTTCACAAATTAGCACATACGTCCTATGTCTTCACTAAAGCATTGTTTTGTGCTCCTAGCTTTTAGCAACACAAGATTAGATAAAAGCTCAAATGTTTTTTTCACTGACCTTTCTTTGCAAGGGACACAATGAAAGAGACAGCATTCCTGTTCCTAATGCCACACTTTTTATATCTCAAACATGCTTTTATTTCCTGCCATTGGTTGTTTTCAATAAATGAAGATTATGTGAATTATGTGTGACTGGTATTACCTTCACCCTTCCTACCAAGAAACTCAGATAAGTAACAATTTTCTGAGCCAGGAACTTTAATCATTGTCATGCTTCTTCCTCCCAGTGGTGGCATTTAGTCAGAAGAGATTATTTGTGGGAGAAGTGCACGTATTCCAGGTGACTCAGGGGAGCTAGCAGCTATAAAAGAGGAAGTGATCATTGTCAATACCTCTGACCACCTCCCTCCCTGGCTTTCGGTCTTTCACCTCTGAACTTGGCACTGAGTGCTGAGCTCTAGAGAGAGTAGGAATTCTCTCTGCAGCAGGAAAAATGCTGACCATGGAAATGTGCAGTTGCCAGTGTCTTCAAGGTGGAAGAATGGGCACCAGACAGGCTGAGGTCACTTAGGGTGAGTGATACAGTGGGAGTCAGGGGGAGCTCTCTTGCTAACAGATTCAAGTACACAGTTGCCATGGGCAACCAGGAGTCCAAACCCGAAGGAAAACTAAACATTCCCCCAACATATGCAGACTTAGCCACACCCAAAACAAGTATCCACAGACACAGGCATGCACACTTGCACTCAGGTTCCCACAGGCATGGTCACCATGCCAGGCTCATGCACGCGGAGTTTAAAAGCAAGCAGCAGTGCACTTGGTACTGTGTGCAGGTGGTGTTCTGTCCATCAGAGCTGGGATGCAGAGTGCAGGGGAGGAAGAGGCTGTGTCAGTGCTTCCCTGCCCTGCGCACAGCTCCTACAAAGCAATCAGCTGTGGAGCACTCAGCAATCAGCCACCAAGGCAGAGGGTGTGCCTGTTGCAAAGTGGGCCTCACTCCTGCTGGAGGGCCTGGGGCACACCGCCAACTCTCCTGTCACCAAATCCTGGTTTGTCACCACAATCCCTGAAATGTGCAAAGAAGTCCCAACTAAGGACGTTAAAGATCTCTACGATGAGAATTACAAAACCTTAAAGAAAGAAATAGAAGACGACACAAAAAAATGGAAAAATCTTCCATGCTCATGGATTGGAAGAATCAACATCATCAAAATGTCCATTCTCCCAAAAGCAATTTATAAATTCAATGCAATACCAATCAAGATACCAAAGACATTCTTCTCAGATCTAGAAAAAATGATGCTGAAAATCACATGGAGAAGCATGAGACCTCGAATAGCTAAAGCAATCTTGTACAACAAAAACAAAGCCAGAGGCATCACAATACCAGATTTTAGGACATACTACAGGGCAGTTGTAATAAAACAGTGTGGTACTGGTACAGAAACAGATGGATAGACCAATGGAACAGAACAGAAACACCAGAAATCAACCCAAACATCTACAGCCAACTTATATTTGATCAAGGATCTAAAACCAATTCCTGGAGCAAGGACAGTCTATTCAATAAATGGTGCTGGGAAAACTGGATTTCCACGTGCAGAAACATGAAGCAAGACCCCTACCTTACACCTTACACAAAAATCCACTCAACATGGATCAAAGACCTAAATCTATGACCCGACACCATCAAATTATTAGAGGACATTGGAGAAACCCTGCAAGATATCGGCACCAGCAAAGACTTCTTGGAAAAGACCCGGGAGGCACAGGCAGTCAAAGCCAAAATCAACTATTGGGATTGCATCAAATTGAGAAGTTTCTGTACTGCAAAAGAAACAGTCAAGAAAGTGAAGAGGCAACCGACAGAATGGGAAAAAATATTTGCAAACTATGCTACAGAAAAAGGATTAATAATCAGAATCTGCAATGAGATCAAGAAACTCCACAACAACAAAACAAACAACCCACTTAAGAGATGGGCCAAGGACCTCAGTAGACATTTTTCAAAAGAGGAAATCCAAATGGCCAACAGGCACATGAAAGAATGTTCAAGGTCACCAGCAATCAGGGAAATGCAAATCAAAACCACAATGAGGTTTCACCTCACCCTGGTTAGAATGGCTCACATGCAGAAATCTACCAACAACAGATGCTGGCGAGGATGTGGGAAAAAGGGACACTAACCCACTGTTGGTGGGAATGCAAACTGGTTAAGCCTCTGTGGAAGTCAGCCTGGAGATTCCTCAGTAACCTGAATATAACCCTACCATACAACCTAGCTGTCGCTCCCCCATTCGCGGAGGAATGACACTGGACCCTGCGCTGTTCTTTTTGCCCAGCCCTTCCGGGTTTGCTGCCAGCTCTTCCACCTCCGCGGAGGGGTGGCACCCTCGCCACTTTCCCTGCTTCCGCGGAGGAGCAGCACACCGCTGGCTGGCTCTCTCAGGGGTTTCTCAGGGGTTGCTCAGATGTTCCTCAAGTGTTCCTGGTGCATGCTGTCTCTCTCCTCCTTTATAGTCCTCTTCCACCAATCCGTACTCTGCTGCCCACATGCCGAGCATGCTGCTCTCCTCCAATCAGGAGCAGGATCAGCTCCTGCAGCTCGTCAGTCAAACTGGTGAGGCAGCTGTGTAGAAGTTGTTTGCTGTCTCTCAGCACCATATGATGGGAGATCAGATGCATAGAATTAGTCTTAGCAGTTCCAGTAATTTAGTCTAGTCTCGGTTGCTCCCCACACCTAGCCATTCCACTCCTTGGAATTTACCCAAAGGATATTAAATTGGCAAACAAAAAAGCTGTCTGCACCTTAATGTATATTGCAGCTCAATTCACAATAGCTAAGACCTGGAATCAACCCAAATGCCCATCAACAGTAGACTGGATAAAGAAATTATGGGACATGTACTCTATAGAATAGTATACAGCAGTCAAAAACAATGAAATCCGGTCATTTGCAACAAAATGGAGGAATCTGGAAAACATTATGCTGAGTGAATTAAGCCAGTCCCAAAGGGACAAATATCATATGTTCTCCCTGATCAGTGACAACTAACCAACCACAAAAAAAGGAAACCTGTTGAAGTGAAAGGGACACTATGAGAAACAGTGACTTGATAAGTCCTTGTCCTGACTGTTGATGTACAATTTAATACTTTATCCCTTTTAGTATTTTTTGTTCTAGTTAATACTATTGATTGAACTCTGTAATCAACACACATTTATTCTTAGGTGTTGAAATTTAACTGAAAAGTGATCCCTGTTAAATATAAGAGTGGGAATAAGAGAAGGAGGAGATGTACAATTTGGGACATGCTCAAGCTGACTTGCCCCAAATGGTGGAGTTAGAAATGTGCCAGGGGATTCCAATACAATCCCATCAAGAATTCATGTACCAATGCCATCTCATTAGTCCAAGTGATCAATTTTAGTTCACAATTGATTACACTGATAGGTCTAAGAGTCAAAGGGATCACACAAACAAGAGTAGTGTCTGTGAATACTAACTGATAGAATCAAAAAGGGTGAGAATGATCCAACATGGGAAGTGGGATACACAGCAGACTCGTAGAATGGCAGATGTCCTAAACAGCACTCTGGCCTCAGAATCAGCCCTTAAGGCACTCAGATCTGGCTGAAGAGCCCATGAAAGTATTTTAGGCATGGAAAGCCAAGACACTCTGGCAAAAAAAAAAAAAAAACACCTAAATGAAAGATCTCTGCAAGTGAGATTCCAGTGGAAAGAACGGGGCCATCAAAGAAGGAGGTACCTTTCTCTGAAGGGAGGAGAGAACTTCCACTTTGACTATCACCCTGTTGGAATAAGATTGAAGTCGGCGAACTCAAAAGGCTGCCATAGCCTTGGCAACTCATGACTAGAGCCTAGGGAGATTACTGATGCCATAAACAAGAATGTCAAATTGTTAAGTCAACAACAGGAGTCACTGTGTACTTACTCCTCATGTGGGATCTGTCCTTAATGTGTTGTCCAATGTGAAGTAATGCTCTAACTAGTACTGAAACAGTATTTTACACTTTGTGTTTCTGTGTGGGTGCAAACTGATGAAATCTTTACTTAATATATACTGAATTGATCTTCTGTATATAAAGATAATTGAAAATTAATCTTGATGTGAATGTAATGGGAGAGGGAGCAGGAGATGGGAGAGTTGTGGGTAGGAGAGAAGTTATGGGGGGGGGGAAGCCATTGTAATCCATAAACTGTACTTTGGAAATTTATATTTACTAAATAAAAGTTTAAAAAAAAGAAATTCCAGCCATTCTCTAAAACGTGCTAGTTATATTCAAATAAGAATGCTCATTATCCTCTCCATTACAGGCACCGGTTACTGATAGATATGGTGTCCCCTTCACATATAAACTCTTTTTCCTTGTATCAGCTGTGCATGGTAAAAATTATTACCTAAAATTTATAGCTAGGGAAACCACCTGAAAAGACCTGTTCTGAGAAGTGGTGAGAGAGAGCTCGGTTGAGGATCCATGAAAGCACAGGTAAGCTGTTTGCACAAATACACCCCCATCCATAGTGATCTGCACACCCACCACGGCCTGCCCCTCGGGTGACCTCCTCAGCCTTGGAGCATGGCCATCCCTCTCATGCACAGCGCTCACACTTGACCCCTCCCTTCCAGCTGGGGGCGGGAGGTCTGGCTGTCAGCACGGAGGGAAGCAGCATCTCCATATCCATCACTGGAACAGGGCTGTTTGCTTTGCACTCCCTCCTTGTCCCACTGGGAGCTGACGGCGCTGGCAGCCCTGGCTTCTGTTGCTGAGACCCACTCAGGTGATAATCCTGATTGTTCCCAGGAAGCAAATGAAAAGCAGCACGGCTTAGCTGGGGAGGAATGCCTTGATGGTGAGGTGTTCACTCAGCACCCTGTAGGCTTCCAGGCATGCTCACAATGCAATGCAGACGAGAAGAAGCAGGACCAGAGAGATGGCATCTCCAAAACTGGAAGAGATGCTGCGGAATCCTCTGGGGCATGGCTGGAAGGGGCGGGTCCATGGCTGGACCCTCTGCAAAATGCCAGGCCCTCAGGGGCTTCCTGGCTGCTGCGGTAAGCCCCAGCTCCCTCGTGTCACGTCTGGGGAAAGAAAATGCATACCTCTGGAGCTACAAGGGATATGTGTGGTAGGATTATTTTTACGTGTATTTTGAGCCTGTTTTTGAGTTTCTCAACCTCAGACCCAAAGCCCACAGTGGCTGAATCTTGCTCATTGGGCAACTTGTCATCTGGACAGCGAATTTCTCATGGAGAAGGTGCGTGTTGCACTCAGGAGAAAATGATCGA